GATAGTGGAATATAGTGATCATCGTGGAACAGTATGTGAACAACAGTATTACGGGCTTTGATTTATGTGGTTGATTTCACTAATAAGAGACTTGCGATTCCACATTCTACTTATGATGACCTTCATTCCACCCAGTCAAGAAATAAGACTATCACTCGTACCATTGCAATGTGAGACAGTAAATATAAAGCAACTACTGAGAACCTTACAAAATTGTTATGCAGATATACTAAGTGTATTATGTCTAAACTTAACGAAAACAGTTTTTGTAACTTAATCGAAGTAACTCATGAAATGATATTGTGATGGATGTTTCTCACAAGATAGCTTCTAAGTCGTAAATAGAGAAGCGTTGGTACGAAAGAGAGAAGCGTATTAGCAGGATGAAATGTACAACGTGACTAGGCTATTTGAAGATCAGAACAGGAATTGTAGAAGATGGTGCATAAGCAGCGTAGATTGCTGAACACACAACATACGCGAATGGATGATTATTGAATACGTGTACATATTTTTCATAAATAATCTGTTTTCATGAAATACATATATTTCATTTAAATTTTTTACCGAATTACGATAAGATTTTCTTAGTATATGGTATTCTAAACAGATTATCAAAAACTGAAAATGTCTTTTAACAAATTGTTGGCATAACAAAATTGTGGAAATCAATTATAATTGAACAAATTTCGACTTTAATTAAAATAAAATTCAAGTAAAATAGCATCACTGAAAATATTCATTGAAATAACTTTAAGAGATCAATAAGTTCTTATCACGTATTTACTCAATATAACCATATTAAGAGTCAAATAAACAAATAATCAATTATACTGGATTGTTGAATTATTTGTAAATATTAGTGACGAATATAGTTAATAAATAATTATATTGCCGGTACAAACACGTTAAGTTGTTGTTTAAAAACGTAGTCAGATGATTATACGTATCCTTAAAAAACAAACGTTTTCAGGATTATCAGTTGTGCAATTAATAATTCAACAAATTGTTACAAAGATTTCAATTTATTTTTTAAGACACTACGAGATTACCAAAGAACTAATAGATTTTTAAACAATGAATGAACGTGTTATTCAGTGATTTTAAAATTAGTGAAGGTAATTTCTCCTTGGGAATTGATATCAATTGAAAGACTGTCGTAACAACTAGTCTAATACTTCATCTATTTCAATAATTGATCCATGAAGTCACTGACAACTGGACTAAGTCATGTTGGTAGGTGTAGACTAGCTGGCTGGGGTCCGCGAAACAATAGTAACCGATGGTTAGAGACCAAGAACGACATGGCTTAAAATTGTTTGCAATGGCGTAGGTGCATCTACTCTTCGTGTTCTCTCAAATTCGAATCTTCTGAATTCCTGATTACCTATATCTTTCTCTTTCTAAATTTATCTCACTGAATTAGGCTTTTTGAGTATCTTCGAATCCTAATCTTCTCCATTACCGCTAATTCTTCTACTATCTGAACTGACAATTGTGTCACTGTGCTAATGTGGTATGGCAACCTGAAATGATGTACCTACGTACGAAGTTCTACGTTGTAACTGGCTGAATTATTTCAATAATTATCTAGTTGATATACTTTATATGTCTATTAAGTATAGATTAGTCAACAAAACTTGGATTATTATCATAATGGATGAATACTGGTGATAATGCCCTGGTCGATCAAACCTACCATCATATGCGTAAAATTTCTCGGATGATTTAACCATTAACTTAATAAGTTCGTGGTAAAAGGTATTTTCAAATAAGTTAATCCTCATCAATTCTAACTGTCTACAAAAATTCATCAGAAACATACTCAAAAGATCTCGAAAACCATTCGTCTCCTAAGTTAAACAGATATTTCTTATTGGGTGTTACTATGAAATCCTTTTAATAGATATGTATTAGAAGACAAGTAATAATTTTCTGATAATAATAAAGTTTAGTTTAACATTGAAACGTATTTATTCTCCTTTATAGTATAAAAAGTGACTAGACGTCAAGAATACATTTGATTAAAAGATACAAACAAAAGATAACATGTGGCTAATTAATCACATCAAATAGCACACGTTGTTTGATTGTCACATAATTGACATAACTCCCACTAAACGAATTGTTACTAAAGTCAAAGCAACAAACGAACAGAAAACGGTTTCTCCTGATAAGCATACGAAATACTGAATACAAAAGTAATTGGAAGAAATGAATTATGTTGCATTACTCAAGCTTCAATGGAATTCAGACACGACCATCAGCAGTATACCTTGCTTGTCACATTATTTAAGAACAAGTAACGTTTGATGTTGGTTGTAGAAAAGATGATAACCACAAGCCGAAAATATACATAAAGTATACCTTAGATTGCTTGTAAAACTATATTTCTCGACTTATACGATCAGCCACACAGCACGTTGAGTTTGTTCAAACCACCGATTTCGAAGTCCATACTAGTTGATCATTTCTTTTGGTGTTTCTGGCAAAATCTTTCTCAACAGGATAGAGTTACTAACTACATACTCAATCCCCTTTCTTTATCCGAGGCCCTATTCTAATAGTGCACACACAAGGATATTAGGAGACATTTTACGAAAACAATCAAACTGCATTGCACTGAATAACTGCTGATGATTTCTGAGAGCTAAAACTGTTGTTTATGGAGATATACACTAGCCGTACGATGATAAGAGCAGACTACTACAGATAGTGAGTGATGTTAATATTTCATCCTTTGAATGTGTTGAGCATTAGACACTGGTTACCAGATATTCAGGGTAGAGCACACGATACTAACCTTCAGTAATGAAGGATAGCAGGCTAACAAACGTTTCTGGTGATTGAACTAGTAATTTCCTTAAATCGTTTAGAGCATATTAATGCACCCATTGGTCAACAGTATGTGCCTACTGAAACTCTTGTAAATATAAATGAAGTAACTTACATGATTCTAGGATATTTTTGCTCAGCTTGTTACAATGATAAGTCTACTGAAGGATGATTGGTTATAATCAGATATAAAGACCTCATTTGCTTTTAGAAAACGTCCAAAATCTGAATAATATTGCACGATTAACACAACCCAGTAATGACGTAACAATGCGACTGAGTGAAACTCAAATTTAGACAAGATTTGAACGATGTAATTCCCAGTAACTTAGTTTTCAAACTGATTGCAAATTCTATGATGAGAGCATAAACGCACTAACCGAAAGACCATGATGTTTAGCGCAAAATGATTATCGCATTAAGAGAAAATTGAGTTAAGCTAATGTATAGTAATTTACGAAAGCAAACTGTAACAGTCACGAACTAACACGATTTCTATATAATAAACTATTTGTAGTGGAAAATAGCTTCAAGTTATCTGCACTAATCCAATTCAGTCAGTCAGTTGCAACGTAGAACTTCGTACGTGTGTACATAGGTTCAGGTTGCCATACCACGTCAGCACAGACGCAAATGTCAAATCAAATCCCGTAGTGATAAAGATAGTAGAGGTATTAATGGTAATGAAGAAGACTAGGGTTTGAAGATATTATTCAAGAAGTATAATTCAGTGAGATAAGGTTAGAAAGACAAAGACAGAGGTGCTGACGAATCCAGAAGATTAGGATTTGAGACAGCACAACGAATGGATGGACTTACGCCATTGCCAACGATTCTGAGACATGTCGTTCAAGGTCTATAACCATTGGTGACTTTCGTCTCGCGGACACCAACCAGGTAGCCTACATCTACCAACATGACTCAGTCCACTTGTCAGTGACTTCATGGATTCGCGCCACGTTTTGGTCTGGCCGCCCTAGCTTTAATCCAACCTACTTCTACACGACAAAACATAGCTCATCGACGCAGTCGGTGGTTAGGCATTCTTAAGACATGTCTCAACCACCTCAACTGATGAAGCTTCGCCACTTCATCTATTGATCTGCCATCCTTACGTAGCACTCGTTTCCTGACGACAGCATTGCTTACTCGGTTGTCCCACGATATACGAGCAATGCTTCTTAAACATCTATGATCGAATACTAGTAACCTACGAACATCTTCTACACTTAACGGCTATATTTCGCATCCGTATAGGAGAACAGAGCGAACTGCTGCGCAGTACACCCGTCCTTTGGTTAGCGAACGGATATCTCGCCTACGCCATAAACGGCGTAAATTGGCAAAAGCAAATCGAGCTACTAATTAAATTGATGGAATATATATGGTCTGTCAAGTGAATACAGAAAGGGAGCTACTAAGATTGTTATTTATGGGCATAACTTATTATGGTCCTCAATGTACAGCATCGAACTGAAATAACAAGAGAAGGAATGGAAAGTAGAGGATGTAATGAGAGAAAATATGTTGGAAATTTAGCTGGTCCTGATGAGTGCTTACTGTAATACGGCAATTTGCATGGACAGTTAGCAGTGATTGCCCATAAGTTCCTATCCTATGTTTAGATCACTCTTCTTATTCACTAGATCCTGGAACTATTATTCCCGATATTCAAAATAACGTTACAAAGAGGAATATGGACAATCTAGAAAAAATAAAACATAGGAAAGGAGGTGGCTAAGAATCTCCAAAGACGTTTAGAACAATGAGAACAAAGTGTTTTACTATAAGTAGGGGCTATTTTAAAGATAAGACCGAAGTACCTTGAAATGTGAAAAACAAATATATTACAACTTCAGTCCCAGAAACTGTTGGACAGACCTACGTAGAATGAAAACATGTAGATGTGTTGTAAACAAATTTTACCAAAGAAAAAACCAAGACTTTTCGACGACAAAACGAAATATAGAAATTACACGATTTACAGCAAAGACATTTTGTTTTTGATCATCAACATTCTTTTGAAGCATAAAACAGCAAACAAAACTTCACGTACAGAGTAAAGATAAGATAAAAATAACTATGTACAAATACCGAAAGTGAACAAAAGATGAGGAAGTACAGTGATCTAAAGATATAAAAGACAACTTGTAGATAACAATAAGTTATGAATTAATCACAGGAGCTACTTGTTCCTTATTATTTGATCCTACAGGCCTCGGTTTTCCGTAAGTAAACGGAACGTAGCGGTATTTGATCATATGCTATATAAGATAAGGGAAAGTAAGAAAAGTCAGACAAACAATAAAAATGATTAAATACTACAATCAGTTAGGACAAGACTACTTATTTAAAATGCAGTGAAATAAATAAAAACCGGACGAATGGATGTGTTTGACAGAAAAGAACAATAGCAAGGTGTCGGTAACTTTTAGTTGTTATAGTTAATTTAGTCACCCGTAGATGAGTTTGAATAAACGTCATTAAATGAAAACTGTCACATAATAGCTTGAAAACACATTTTATTTCGTGCACCCGTTGTTCGATTCAACTATCTGCAACACACAACAGGCGATGAATGATAAAAGAGTACATTAAGCAGTCCATTTACTTATCTGCTAAATATTGGCTAATGGACTCATTTTAATCCTGAGCGACCTGTTGGTGCAGTGGTATCCCGCAGATTAAGGTTCATTCATTCTGCATTTCTCCTGAATATTTTCAATACTGGTTTATACTTTTTATCATGTTACTTAGTTACTTCTCTTCGAACTATATTTAATTCTGTTACGATCATAGACATGCTCCTAGAAATAACCTTATCCTCGTCTGAATTTTCAGGAGTAGACCTTCTTCCAGGTGGCTCGCTTATTGACTTAGAATATGCCGATGACATTGTCCTACTTGGTGAAGACGCTGACAAAATGCAGAGTCTTCTGATTACCCTAAGCAACAATGCGAACATGTTCGGGATGCGGTTCTCACCCTCGAAATGCAAAGTGTTGCTTCAAGATTGGGTTGCATCGGCACCTGAACTAGTGACAGGGAGTGAAGTAGTCGAGCGTGTAGACCGCTTCACTTATCTTGGGAGTCTCATCAGTGCCGATGGCCTGGTGACTGACGAAATTTCAGCTCGGATACAGAAGTCAGTCAGAAGGCTCTATTGGCTTTTGCCAACCTGCGTCACTTATGGCGTAGGTGAGATATCCGTTTGCTGACTAAAGGACGAGTGTACTGTGCATCAGTTCGCTCCGGTCTCCTATATGGCTGTGAAACATGGCCAGTGAGAGTAGAAGATATTCGTAGGTTACTGGTTTTCGATCATAGGTGTCTTCGAAGCATTGCTCGTATATCGTGGGACAACCGAGTGAGCAATGCTGTCGTTAGGAAACGAGTACTACGTAAGGATGGCAGATCAATAGATGAAGTGGTGAAACTTCATCAGTTGAGGTGGCTGGAACATGTCTTGCGTATGCCCAACCACCGACTGCCTCGACGAACTTTGTTTTGTAGTGTAGGAGTAGGTTGGAAGAAAGCTAGGGGCGGCCAAACCAAAACATGGCAGAAATCCATGAAGTCATTGACTAGTGGACTGAGCCATGTCGGTAATTGTCGACTACCTGGTTGGGGTCCGCGAGATGATAATAATCGAAGGTTAGAGACCTTGAATGACATGGCTCAAAATCGTTCGCAATGGCGCCGGTGCATTTATTCTTTGTGTTCTCTCAAATCCTAATATTCTGCATTCTTCAACACCTCTAGTTTCGACTCTCTAAACTTTTCTCACTGAATCATACTTCTTGAATAGTATCTTCTAATCTTAACCTCTCCGATTACTTCTAATTCCCTTACTACCTCTACTACTATTGGATTTGAATTGACAATTACTTCTCTGTGCTGATGTGGTATGGCGACATGAACTGACGTACTTACGTACGAAGTTCTACGTTGCATCTGACTGACTGACTGACTGTTACGATCGATACTATCACCACCTATTAGCTAATTATCTTTTTGAATTGACTTTTCTATCCTGAATTATTGTACAGTTTAAGGTGAGGTACAATTGTGCCAGGTGCTATGTTGGCTGTAAACTGAGTGACTGAAACGAACAAAAGACGAGTTATTAAAATGGTGGATGTGCATTCATAGTACCGAAACCCCAGAAGTTAGGTTGCAGGTTTCAACTTTCTATTTGGGTAATATTACTAACCATCACACAAAATGTAACTCAAATTGGTTTATTTGAACTTGTAGTTCATTCTTAAGTTATACTGTTATAAAATTGGGGACTCAATGGTCTTAGACAATTAGGGCTTAGGAATTCTTTCAATATACAAAGAGAACAATCCCATCATTCCAGAAAACTTTAATGACAAACATTCATAAGTATACAGTTTTCTTTAGAACCTGAGGGTAAACCGGTGATTGATATAGTGCAATAACTGATACACAAAATCCAAGTACCGCAAACAAAAAGATAATGAAAGATAAAGAAAAACTGGCATTTGAGAAGTGATATTTAAAATTTTCTATGGGATATTTAAAGTTTTGCAACTTTAAATGGATTGACAAGATGAGTAGTGGACTAGAAAAAATGGGGAGTGATAGTCGCATATGGTTACATTTATGAAAAGGAATAAAACTAACCTTAATTTGCTTTTTCATCATGATAGCAAACAACATTATAAAATACATAACCAGTATCGGCCAAAATACTGGAATATCCAAGAAGGGGAGAAATGTGCAGAATATACTGATTAAAACAGCACGGACAGTAGAGAGCCTAAAATGTATCGGGAAATAATCCTTAGCACAAACGAAAATAAGTTCAAATGTTAGCAATTTTTAGACTCATTTTTTAACGCGATTTCCAAATAGATGGAGGAGATAGAGAAGGCAATACACTCATATGGAAGTAATGTGGAACTTTTATCATGTACTACGTTGTTTTCACAATTATTATTGAATAAATGAAAGGGAAATCAAATGAATATAACATACTAAAACACTACAGAACGAGCAACGGTATTTAATTTACATCTATTAGAACGTTTACAGCTAGTATTTGGGCAATCGATTAGCACCAAGCGTTACAACTCAAATTAGTTTAATTATGAAACAAGATCAACATATTGCACTGCGACAATTTTATTATTAACGTGGTTAAAGTTCCTTTGGCCAACGGACCCCTAAACCGGACCAGATAAGATCTCTACTGACGAGGTTAGCAGTTGTTTTTCAGCCTTCTTCCCAAAATGATACTGAAATCGATATCACTGGACAGAAAAAGGTGTTTATCGGTAAATATTCTAAGATCTGAAGTATGTTCCTAGGGAAAAATACTATTTTTGAAGCGGAAATTATTGCGTCAGTCATTGGAATTAGATTTTCGGACTATCTCACGAACCATTAATATATATGGTATGTTCGAATAAATCGTAAAAACACATAGATCCAATGCACAAAATGCATATAACTCAACACCACAAAAAAAATCAAGAACTAAAAAGTCTTACCAAAATTTAGATTCAAGTAATCTTGGAATAAAAGGTCTGAACTCTTCACCTACAGTTCGTGGAAGTGTTGGGATTTCATCTGTTAATCACTTTATGATCCGAATAACACACACTTACCCAAATAGTCTGCGGCAGCGGGATCGACTTTTGGAGATATAAATGATATAAATAAACTCAGCAAATAAATTGCTAGAGTATAACTAACTATATGGAAACCCTGAATACAAGCGTTATGTAAAATATATTAGCGCACCTGGATAGATGCTATCCGGAGCACATAAACAGCGAATAACAGGAAGGCGAATAGCCACCTAGTTATCCTATATGGATAGAGCTTATCAATAATAGTTTGGTGTATCTGACAAACGCAAATAAGGATTATGTACTCGAATTTAAACTAACCACAGTGATCGGGCGACAAACTTTGGACAGGAATGTATTGGACGACTCATCATTCGTCTGATCTAAATTCATTTCGGAGACAAAGAATTATTTTTGATAGCGGTGACAAAGACCATTCAGCAGTGTCCACGATATCACGAACTCCCGCCACTTTTACAACTCACAAACGTTCGGAAAGCCCTCCATAATCTACGATGAAGAAAGTTTTCGTTGGGACCAAGACGCTAAACTTTGCTTGGCTGCCATAGAAAAATGTTTGTTTCTTGGATTACTAACCTGGGTAGTATAAGGAAGCTCATGGTTTCAGAAGGTTTATTCCTTGCCGCATTCATTTCTGAATGATCCAGGTGCAACACGTAGTGTAATCTCATTACGTATGGAGAAAACATAAATACCGACCCTTTGTCAAGAGACTATTCAGAATGTATCAGAGCTATCAGTTTTGACTAAGTGCTCTATAAATTGCAGATCACAGACGCGTAAATTTACTAATATCTTCGAAATTGTATCCCAAACGGACTCTACCTGTGAACTATATGTGTAAGACACCATAATCTTACCCTCTTAAACCTTCTGTACTCCAAAGGCTGTAAGCAAATTTCCCATCCACAATGAGTTAAGTTTAAGTATTTAAAGCGTATTTTTAGTTTCACTTAATTATTGCTGTTTAAAGTGAGTAAAATCGTTTGTTAACATTGTTAACACATTATTTCTGTAGTTATTTATTGACTGTGTTGAAACTGGGTCGTTTGACTCTCACAATGGTATGGCTAAGAATGGCTGCACTGTGGTTGGTAAGTTAAAGTCAGAAGTATGAATATTATTCACTTCTAAAGAATTGTTGCAGGATTTTTGTTACAATTCATTAGTCGGTAACAGTATAACTGTTTTCCTTCTGAACAATATTTGTTGACCATTTTCTGCTAATCAACTCTATGCCAATAATTAGAATACACTGTATGGTCGTATGTATATCCCAACCACCGTATTGAGTTTTTATCAGTATTTGATGTTCCAGGAAGTCGCCCAACCATACCGAATGTTAGAACTTGCTTGACATCCTTCTTGCTATAGAAGGACATTAGAAAAACTTCCCCAAAACCCAGTCCCGTCCTTTCGACCATGTTTCTGCAGCTACTTTTTAACCCCCATAAATTTTACCAACCAACCAACGTCCAATGTTCTGGTGTGTTAAATAAAACGGTTCAGCTTGGTTGGTGATTTTTATCAAAAGGTTAGTTTCATTCCACAGTCACTATAGAGTAATTTTCAAGTTGTCTTGCATGATGAGTAGTATAATGCTGGAATCAGTGAGAAGGTGCATTACGTAGTTCTTGCGATATAAATGTAAAAGTTTCTGACTGTCTAACTGTTTGTTTTACTCAGACATTACTGAACAGTTAAGGTAACTAGGAAACAATTTATCACTCTCCATAATCGTAAGTCGGATACTCTTTCTGAAGTTTGAAATTCTTACTTTCCAATTTTTTGGTAGCAATCAATGACCATTCATAAGCAGCAATTAGTACATTTACCTATACACTTAACCAGCTAATTTAAATCGATATTGATAGCTGGAAGCGTCCGACCAAGTGTTGTAGTTGTATTTTTAGCTCGGAAACGTGAAAACCTATTTATTTATATAATGATCTTGGTAGTTCCGTGTATTTTCTCCCCTATCTTTGATGACAAACATTATTGCTCCTAACCACTTTCTATTTCTCCCTTGGTTGTCCATTTGGTAACATTAGCTTTGACAGCAAAATCATTATGTTTTGTAATTTTCCGAGTATCTTAATGTCCACTAGGCTAAAGTCGAGAATATGGGCCTTCCAGAGTCATAAGGGGATGATTCATGGCCATACGAAAAATATCAAGAATGACTGACTGGGATGTCTTAATGCTTACAAACTTTACCGTTAAAAGGCAGCAAGGACGCCAATTCTGAGACCACATTGTCCCACACATTAGGTTTCAGAATGTTTTTTCCTAATAATTAACTAATAGATACGTTTTAAAATGTTAGTTTCATGAATGGAGGTCAGTTATTACACGTTTTTTCATCAGTAACATAAACCTGTCTGATCGCGGTTTATCAGTAGTTTATTACAAACAAGAACCATTTTGGCTTTTGTAATTTGAGATGTTAACCATTGACATTCGTTTATTTTTTGTTACTTGAATTCGGCCTATTCAAATGAACACAAGGATGCCAACCCGTGAATATTGATTGACTACAAAGGACATTTTACATCCGAAATGTTTCAGACTGAGGTGTTTCTTGGACGGAGATGGAAATTCATTTTGGAAACAAATGTAATACGATCGCTGATGATGAGATGTGCGTCACTTTTAGCATCACTGGAAGCCATTCTGAATGCTGTTTTTAGTTATGAATTTTGTTACCTTTAGCTTGTAGTCTCTTCGGAGTTGCTGTCCTTCAAGATGATTTAAAGTGGCCTTTTTTACTTATCTGTCTTACTATGTCCGTTCATATGTGCAGATATAATTGAACTAATATATTTGAAAATCACATACTCAGTGACAGCACCGAGTGAAGAGCTGCATTTGCCTTGGTTGCGTCCCCTATAGTTCCAACTGGTGTGGAGGCTTTCAGTGGTTATTAAAGCGAAATAGAGCTCTGAGGTAGCGAACTTCCGTTGACGGTAAATTGTTTGTGTCACTTTGGGTAGGATGTACATAACGTGACATTTTGACTGGTTTAGTATTAGACCGCTTTTCGCCATCCTTTCCTCAACAGATGTAGGGTCCTTTCGAAGCTCAGTTGAATCCTGTTCGCTCCAGATCTTTGCACTGTCTGAGTAGATCAATACCGGCTAGCTAACTGCGTCTAACAGGTTGTTAATGAATATCAGGAAGAGAAGTGGACTTGAGACTGTACCCTGTGAAGCTCCCAATGTTGAGACTCGCCAACTGGAGTGCACTTTACTTACCTTGGTACGAAACTGTCTATTCTCAAGGTAGTTTCTGAGCGAAGATAAGAGTGGGTCAGTGAAGCCCATTCCCGTAACCTTCGCGATTAGGTATGTGGATTACTGTGTCAGAGGCTTTCTCAAAGTCCGGTATTTTTCGGTCCCAATTTCGAAGAGTGCGCGAGAAACCTTCCAATATAGAGAATATTTGATTAAACTAAACTTAACAGAACTCTCAGTTCGAATGAACAGTGAACGTGGGAGCTTACCAAAATATTTATTCTTAAAATAGATATTTAAAAATATGAGGCTGAAATAAAATGTTGTTTAGATATGAAGATATATAATTAGTGGTTACTGGAATATATTGTCAAGAGCACTGGAAGAGATAAACTATGGGTACGAAATAAGAAGTAGGGTGGTTTAAATTTCCGTCTCACGAAGTTGGTTCAGTGATAGGAAATATGTCATGAGTTCTATAGACCTAGTTTCATTCTTGACTTGACTTCAGAAGTTTATCTTATCACCTTTCACTACATGATGGTAAAATATTTCTGACTCATCTATCGTTAGGTGGCACGTAACACGATGTTTATAAGATATACCTGGAACCGTACAAAAGGAATAAGAATCAAGAGCAAAGAAATCAAATGGTTTATACTAGCTCGTGAAAAAAAATGAATATTGAGATGGTGAAGAAAATCTGTAGCTGAGGTGGATGATTGCGGTGGAGTTTCGTTCTCTGAGCTGGATGTTTTAGTTGTAAAGCTTTCATCGTTCTTCCAAGCAACATCATGTGGTGTTTGAATGAACTAGTAACTTCTTGTTGTTGTGAAATGCTTGATTTCGAATTCTAAATACAATACATTCGTTGTTGCAGTTCTTTAATTCTTGATTCATATACTTCTAAGCATCACAGTGGCGTCGCGAGCAGGATCTTGTAATGGAACAGCTAGATATTCATTCTACTTCTGAAGCTTTTGAAGATTATTTGGAAAGGTTTGAAATCTGGAGTATGACCAGGAAAGATGTCAAAGATGATAAAATTGTGGCTCATTTCCTAACATTCATCGGAAAAGAAGCATACAGCTTATTGAAAACCTTGGCATATCCAGAAAAACCTATTTCACTTCCCTATGCAATCCTAAAGGAGTTATTATTGAATCATGTAAAGTGCCGTGGTTTTGAATGCCGTGAAAGAGCGAAATTTCATAAGATGATTCGTCAAAATGACCAAAATGTTAAGGAATTCATTCTTGAATTGCAGAAACAGGCTGTCAAATGTAATTTTGGCGATCAACTTAATGTGCAGCTGAGAGACCGATTAATTGCAGGAATTAACATACCTAGTTTGGAAAGAGAGCTGTTATGAATGTCAAACTGTTCCTTTCAAGATGTTAGAACTGCGTGCATTAACTACGAGGCGTTGAATGAACTTGATATTCAGTCGATGAAGATTTCCAATAATTTGATTAGTTGTCATGATGAAAAGCAATCTCAGGGTCAATCAAAATTGTGTTCGTTTAACAGAGGTTCCTATTCTCGTGTAAAAATGAACGGTGTCTCAAAAAAGAATTACAAAGGAAATCAAAAAGGTGAGACCAAGTTTGGCAAATGTTTATCATGTGAAAAACTTCATTCTCGTTATTATTGTACATTTCGTAATGCTAAATGTTTTAGATGTGGTAAGATAGGACACATTCAAGCAGTATGCAAAGCTACTGTTCATTTTGCCTCAAGTAGTGCTAAAGCTTGTAATTTAGATTCCAATAATTCAGCTGATCCTAATGATCATTTATCTTTAACTACCATTTCGAAAGGTAATGCTCATATTCAAAAGCGACTATATACATCACTTGGTTCATTTCATGACTTTATTGTGGACACAGGCAGTATAGAGTCCATTATTTCATTCAAGAACCTGAAATCGTTAGATCCGAACGTTGTGATACGACCCACTGAAGTATCAATATTGGGGATTACTGGACACAGACTGCCTATACGAGGATGTTGTGAATTGCTAATAAGAGATGATAATTCCTCATACATACCATGTGAATTCTTAGTTAGCGAAACGGGACTGTCAATACTGGGTTTAAAGAATTTGAGAAGACTTAAAGTGGAGTTGTCTTTCCTAGT